CAAGTGGCAACAGAAAAATACAATACTATGCGTTCTACAAAGTACCGTGTCACTTTATAAACATTCCTTTTAATACACATTCAGTTTATACTTGCTTCCAGAACTAATGGATGAAAACCTATTTCCAAACACTGGAGGAGAAAAAAATGGAAGTCCTTAGCTTACTGGTTGACACTGACAGATAAGCATTTTAAAAAGTTACCATAACAGATGTGCTTCTCTGGGTGGGGGAGAGTTGGCCAATCAAAATTCAGTTCTCATTAGTTTATATCACCCTCAGTCCAGAAGCTGCTTTAAGACTGTCCTGCCCAATCATAGAGATGGTGTCAGTTTTAGATTTGGTATCACAGCAGTTGTCAGTCATTCACATTACATGTGCCTATGTTTCAGTTCACTATGATGTATAAAGAAGGACTCATGGGTTTTTACAAAAAAATATAAATAGAAAGGGGATATTTCTGCTAATGTTTTTGACTCAGAAATATCAGGAACATCAAGTCTGCTCTTCCCTGTTTCTTGCTGGAGGGCTTCTTCAAGGAATCAGAGAATTGGCCTGATAGGTTGGGAGCTACCTCAGCCTTTAATCAATAGGGTGGGTATATTGTGGGTATATGTAATCTTTACCGAAGAGAACTTTTCTCTCAACTGTTTTTCAGGCATTTGAGTTAAATGAATTTAAAATGAACAAAACACAGAATATAAAACAGCTTGAGTAAAAGTCACTTCTCTGTGACACACTGAGGTTTCACATTCTTAGTGTCTTTTATGCCTTAATTCTACTTGGTCTTCAGGCATCCACAGAGTCTTCTAGGATAAATTTGATAGACAAGACCTGCATTACTCATTTAAACAACAAAGAGAAAAAAATAAATTTAAATAAATCTAAAGCCTTTCAGGCCTTCTCTCTGCATCACAACAAAGCCAAAAAGGCAATAGACCAACCTTCTTTTCCTTTGTAGGTCACCTTTAAAGTGAATATAATGCTAGTGAAAAGGGTTGGCTTGACAGCCCCGGCTAGTAAAATCCTCGGTTACAGTTGCTGATTTGTGTGAATGAAAGCGTCCAGCTTGCCTCTCAGAGCCCAGGTGGAGTTTGAGGGGCTGATGGCTTTTTACTTGCAGACAAAGCATGACTAAGCAGGAGTCTGATTGACAATAATATTGAAACCTCCCCCCCTCCTGTCCCCAATTCCATTATTAGAGTCACTTTTCCGAGTGAGACTGCACTTTGACGTGTACAGATTACCCTCTATTCTTTGCATGTGTGCCATTGAGATTTTTCTAATCTGGATAATAAGCATGTGTTAGGGAAAATAAAATCAATCCTGCCACAGTGCAGGGGGGTAGACAGAAGACCTATTAAAAATCCATTTGAACCCAAAATATTCTGTGATTTGTAACTAGTTACTAGTTTAATTTCATGCAGTCTAAAAAAGAGAGTTTCTATGTAACCCAGACATTCCAAAAGTATTAGAGATTACGCTAACCTCTTAACAGTATTGACATCATTGTGATTTACACAGTGCTGTTGAATGAAATAACCATAGGTAAAACAGAAAGTCAGGGGGACTGTATCGTGAGGGGATTGAGGCACAGTGGTGGGCAGAAGTGTGGAAAGCTTTCACGCCGCTGCCTGTGCTATGTTTGACTGTCCTGCTCCTCTTACACTGGTGTAACTCCATTGCATTCAGTGGAGTTACTCCTGATTTACACTATTGAAAGTGAGAGAAGCATCAAGTCTCTTATGTCAACACGTAGATTGTAAGCACCTCAGGGCAGGGACTTTGTGTTTTGGGTTTGTACAATGCCTAGCACAGTGGAGTCCTGTGTCATGCCTGGGTCCCGTAGGTGCTATCTCAGTACAAATAATAATAAAAGAAGGTTCTGCAGGTCAAACCATGCCCTCAGCGACACCAGTGCAAATCCATTAGCTTCAGTGGGTTTACACAGGTGTCACTGATTGGAATTGAGTTGATGGGCAAGAATAGACTTCAGCTCCCTCTCTCCAAGCTGTGTTGGCTGTGCAGGACTAATGCAAATAAAAATGCAGTAAATTCCTAACATCTGCTGACTAGAGTGAAAAATTATTCTAAATATACACAGAGAGGAGATCTGTTAATTAGGAAAGTGTCATTTTTACCCAGTCATTTTTCTCTTTTTCTCTCCGGCATGTATGCTGTAAAATGAGCTCTGCCATTCCCAGTTTTTATTATCACACAGTTGCTGGGGAACATTCAGCTCCCAGCCTTTGTTCTGTTGTTACTAGCATGGAATGCCTCAGCTCTGCTTGCAGTGGATGTTCCAAATAAGCTTACTGGAACTTCACTACGAGAAAGTGTGTTTGAAGGTACAAAATAGCGTAATCTCCACAGCAGGGAGAGTTCCAACCAGTTGCTGGCTTTATCTGGCAACCGCTAGCATCTTAGATTTAGCAAGAACCTGTCCATTCTGACCATTTTAAATAGTGAAAATGACATCCAGTGTGGAATGAAAATATGTTTGCCCCAGTTAAAGTATTTGGAACAAGTTCATGACATGCATATATGCCTGCAATATTTGTATTCAATATGCATGCAGAGATGCTGTAGGGAAAAGTGAGCAGATTTGTGACACATTGCTAAAAGAGTAATTGGCACTATTTTGTCCCTCCCCCGTGGAAAGGCAGCAAAAAGCCTATGACCTGTAAACAAGGAAAAAATGGCTTCACTGGGCTTTTGCATCCTTCTTTCAGTAGCTTGTGCCTCCCCAGAGATTCTTGTCAGTGCTTAGTTCTCTGGCGAAGATCATGGGTGGGGTTTTCCACACATTCAGTCCAGGCGGTTGTCACCTTGAATAGATGTCTGTGCTTCTGTGGACTACCACTCCTATCAACCCTTTTTCTGTATCTGTCTCAATCTGTACTAATCTGTCAGAAATCTCAGTTGCCCACCCACCCCACACACACACACACCCCCGAGACTGCTGTAGGAAACTCAACTGCTGGGTCCTCAAGTGTTTTAAATCTGGAGCCTGAACAGAGCCCAGCCACTGCCCCACTCTTGGGATCCCTAGGCACATTCTCAGGGTGAAGACCCTCTGTCTAGCACCCCTTCCTAAAAGCTGGAACCTGCTGTCCAGCTGCCGCCCTCCTGGACCTAGTAATGACCCTTCAGTCTCCCCCATGGCTTAAGCACACCCTCTCCTAGACACCCACGAAGACGTGAGCCATTTAACTCCCTCAGGATGCCCCCTGGTAACAGTGGTGGATTTAGAGTTAGTGGGGCCCTGTGCTCAGCCTCATTTTTGGGGCCCCTCCTTGGGACCCAGCCAAGAAAAAGAACATTCTCTCTTACCTCCCCACCACCTCCGTTTTTCATTCTTTTTTCTTCATCCTCCTCCTATAAGTAATAGGAAGTAAATGAAAATAAAGTGCGGTACCTTGATTGTTTTTGTTGTCTAACTTATTTTTCCACAGATCACTTGAAAATTGCTGAGGGTCTGGGCAGACCATTTAATGATCTTTCCAAATATTGTTTATACTGTTAGCTAACTATTGTAAAGCGCTTTGGATAAGAGAGCTTTATTAAAAAAAATGTAAAAAAACATTAGGGTGCGGGAGGGGGCTGGGGCAGGGGGTTAGGGTGTGGAGCGCTTACCTGGGGCAGCTCCCATTTGGTGCAAGGGGTGCAGGTGGGGATGTGTGGGGGGGGTGCAGGAGGGGGCTCAGGGCTGGGGGTGCATGGTCTGGGAGGGAGTTAGGGTGCAGGAGCGGACTGGGGGTTGGGGTGCAGAGTCTGGACAGGAGTTAGGATACAGGAGGGGGCTCAGGGTTGGGGCAGGAAGTTGGGGTGTGGAGCGCTTAGCTGGGGCAGCTCCCATTTGGTGCGAGGGGTGCAGGTGGGAATGTGTGTGTGTGTGCAGGAGCTACCATTCGATGCTCTGGGTGGGGGTGGGAACGTGGGGGGGATGCAGGAGTCAGGTCATAGGGTTGGGGGTGCTGGGTATGTGTGGGTGATGCAGGAGTCAGGGATGGCAGGGGGCTGGGGGTGTTTGACGGGGGTGCAGGAGTCAGGGAAAGGGGCTGTAGGGCTGGGGTCATGGGGGTGCTCCCAGCCCCTTGCCCTGAGTGGCTCCTGGCAGGGGGCTGGGGGGGAGGTATGTGTAGGGGGAGTGTGGGGCCTCGCCTTTGCACTGCCCTGCTCCGATTCCACCCCCTTTCCCAAGGCCCAGCCGCCGCCGCCTCCTCCTCCTCCTTCCCTGAGTGCGCTGCAGCTCCGCTCCTCCCCCTCCCTCCCTCCCAGAGCGACTTGAGCCCTGGCAAACAGCTGTTTGGTGGCAGGGGAAGCGCTGGGAGGGAGGGGCGGGAACATGGCACGCTCGGGGAAGAGGTGGGAGAGGGGGGAGCTTGGCTGCCGGTGGGGGCAGAGCCTGCAGCAGGAGCCCCAGGAGCCGGCTTCTGCCCCCGCAGCTGCCTGGCCCTGGGGCCCCCTGTCGTTGGGGGGCCCCATGCCAGGGCACCCTGTGTTTTACTGTAAATCCACCTCTGCCTGGTAAGTGTAAAACCTGTAACACACACAGACGCTTTGCTTAGAGCCTAGCATGTGATTATTCTTTAACAGCACAAAACACACACAACCATACAAAATAATAAACTCCCTCTAAAGCACACATTGAGTCACAAAGATGCTGTGACCACTAGGCAGCTAGCAATCTGCAAATCCCAAGACTTACAAAGGGGATTCAAGTTTGGGCGTGCTGTTGCCTGTTTGCAGAGTTAAAAACCATCACAATAAACAGAACTGACCCTCCCTGGCTTTACTGTCAGTGTAGAATTCCTTCTCCCCTGTTGTCATTCCTCTTGATTTTAAGGCTATAGGCTGTAATTCTATACATACTAAAGAGCTTTAATTTCCTGTCTGTAACAACTATGAAAGCTGTGTATGAGAGGGAGGAAATGGACAGTAAATCTTGTCAACACTGTTGAATTATCCCTCATAGTAAACACAATGATTTTGCTTGCAGGGAGGATGCATTACTAAACTGGAACAGTTCCTGGCAGATCACCTTTTGATAATGGGAGCTGTTGGCATAGGAGTAGCTTGCCTTCAGGTAAGTCCCAAAAGCACATCAAAAGCCGGGTTATTGTTCCAACTCACTGGACCCTCCAATCTAAGGGGTACCTTCTTAACTAAAATTTCCTACCATCTCTATAGCTGTACTAGCAGTGGCCCCAGGGGAAGCACTAGTGTAGACCAGCCAGTGTTTTAACCAATGTGCCATCTTCCATGGTCAAAGCAGGTCTTTGACACCGTTGATTGGAATCCCAGCAGCACCAGCACATTGTCTGCACTTCATGTTACCACTGGTGAAGCTGAACTGGTGGCAGCAGCGGCAGGAAATTGGAGGAAAATAAGTCTAGCATACACAAGGCCTGAGTGTGCTTTTCTGTCATTTGTTCCTTGGAACCAGTGCTCTGGTTTCACTTACAGATGACATCATCTGGATTTACATGTAAAGCTCACTTTTTAAAATTGTGTGATCTTAGTCTAATAGCTGATATCTACAGCTGTGCTTGGTGTAAATAGGAGATACAAGGATTTCAAATTTGGGATCTCTGGCTGATGCAATATAGGCTTCTCCCGATGCTGATCTGGCGTATAGTTTCTTCTAACAGCGTTTGCCTGGTTTTTCATTTTATTAAATGATAAATCAGGCAGTGACCTTAGAACAGAAATTTTCTGACTGAGTGGCTTTTGAGGCCGGCTTAAACCACTTTCAGGTTGTTGTTGTGGTTTTTTTTTTAAAGTGAGCAGATACAGTAGCAGAGATTTCTCTATGAAAACAGCATGTATGGGTGACTAGCAGAGAACAGGTCAATATGACAGACAGTTCCTTCAGTCTCCATGTATTTGGATGGATGGATGGCAGTCTTGAACAAAATATCATTTTTGTGGATGGGAGGTTCCTGGGTGAACTCGTTTCCAGTCTCTGGATGGGAAAGTTTGTTTGGAAAACAAGCTTCCCCAGCCCTTTCTGTGAACGGAACAATTAAGTGAAAGAGAGAGAGAACAACATCCTTTCAGGCTTCTAGGGATAGCACCAGTTTACATTATTCAAGTGGCAAGTAGCTGTATTATCTTAAAAAATAAGAAAGCTGTCTGGGATCAGCTATAGTGGAAATGAGGCAGCAATGTTCTTTTATCCTCTTAATTTACCTTTTTCCTCACAACTTGCCCCAAGGTCACACAGTAAGTCACTGACTCCTGGGAATAGAACCCAGACTTTTGTTTTTTCATGGATGCATATATTCCAAGGCCAGAAGGGGACCATCGTGATCCTCTAGTCTGACCTCCTGTATAACACAGGCCATAGGATTTCCCTAACAAAATTCCTTTTGAACTGGAGCATATCATTAAAAAATAAAACCAATTCCATCTCGATTTTCAAATTTCCAATAATGATGAAGATCTACCAAAACCCTCTATAAATTGTTCCAATGGTTAATGACCCTCCCTGTTAAAAATCTACCCCTTATTTTCAGTCTGAATGTGTCTAGCTTCAACTTCAAGGCACTGGCTCATATTATACCTCTGTCTGCTAGACTGAGAAGCCCATTATCAAATATGTGTTTCCTATGTAGGTAATTTTAGACTGTGATCGGGTCACCCCTTAATACTCTTAAGCTAACTAGATGGAGCTCCTTGAGTCAGTCACTATAAGGCATGGTTTTCTGTCTTGTGGTTTAACCACTAGACAATGCTGCTCCCTTTGAAAATGTTTTTTCCCGTCTGGAACATTGGTGTTAGACTCTCTCGGGTTCTTACAGCAGAGCTACATGTACTTTTCTGCTCAAAGGTCTAGTAAAGCTTCCGTTTTATATTTCACAAGCTGGAAACTCAGCAGAGGAAAAAAAAGACAGGGAGTTTTAGGTCTACCTTAGATCTGAGATATTTGTAGAGATCAGGGGAAATATCAGAAATTCCATGTGAACCCTGGAACAGCTAATTTAGTATCTGTTGCTGTATAGAGGCCTGTGGCTACTAAGCAGTGACACCTGGGGGTAATTTTTTCCCTTGTTCAGCACAAGGTATTACTGATCCTGTGGCGTTAAATATGCAGAAGTCTTCTCAGACTTTATGGAGCTGATCTCAGCACTTTTGATGTAGAAATGATTTTGGATGTGGACATCTCTTGTCCACTCACTGTGACTTTGTCACAATGGGAAATAGGCTTTTTTGTTTCCCTCCTTCAGTGGTTACTAATAGGTACTGCTGGTGTCTCGCAATACTCCCCAGGAAATGGTGCCTGGTCCTGCCCCATCTCTAGTCATTTTAGCAGCTGTGTTAAGGGAAATAATTCTGATTACTCGTTATTGGCAGAGATGGGAGGATGTACTCCTAATGCCAGCTAAACAACTGCTCAGTCCCCTTCCAATATGGGCACTGTAATGAATGGAAAAGAGAGAGGAAGAATCTGGGTTATTGCAGCTTGTCCCTGGAAATCTTCCAGATTCCATAACTGACGAGGAATTGCACCATAGCTCAGCATGATTCTCTTCATTTGGAACTAAGAATAAAAGTATTTCATACTGAATATTGAATCGAGTGGTTTCCAGAAAAAAAAATACAGTAAAATTACAATAGATTTTAGAATCCAGCCAAAAAAAACCCAAACGTTTTTTCTCCAAGAAAATAAATGTGTCAAACATATCCTAGTCAGGTGAGAAGGACCTATAGAGAGTCTGGCTTTTGAGTTTAGCTTGGTCTTGAATCTCAACAGGTGTTCACCCTCCACAACCATCCTTCCCCTCTCCAGCCTCCCAGAGTATTTTGCGGAAGGGCCCAGCAGCTCTCTGTCTCTCTGTGACCAGACTGTAAGGTTACCATATTCAAACATTTAAAAAAGAGGACACTCCAGGGGGCCCCGCCCTCGGCCCCACCCCAACTCCGCCCCTTCCCCACCCCGGCCCCGCCTCAACCCCACCCCTTCTCCGCCCCCATTCCAACCCCTTCCCCAAAGTCCCTGCCCCAACTCTTCCCCCTCCTCTGAGCACCCTGCATTCCCCCTCCTCCCTCCCGCTCTGATCTTGGTTGGGGGTTGCTAAGTGCTTCCCTGCTCCCTACTCGCCCCACAGCCCCTATGCCCTTGCCTGCCCTGCTCCTCCTCACCCTGCAGCCTCTGCACCCCCCCGCCCCTGCAGCCTCTGTGCCCCCTGCTCCCCACTCGCCCTGCAGCCTCTGCACCCCCCCCTTCCTGAAGCCTCTACACATACACA